GGCAAGAGGTGGAGAAAGTGGATGAGCAACGGGATTTGGAAGGTTGAACACTTATGGAACTCGGACAAAAACAGATGGACCACAGCCCCGGAACTCAGAACCAAAAAGCGTTACACAACGTAAAGGATCAACTTGAAAGCCTGCTGGAAAGCGTCCCACTAAAATGGGAAATCTTATTAAAAGCTAATACCAAATGGGTAATAGGGGACTGGGCAACAAAAAAAGAGCCAGCTCTCCCGGATGAGGTCTAGACAATGAAGGAAGTAGAGCGGAGTTTGTCGCCTTTGAACTGTTAGACACTCGTAAGTCCTGGGCAAAACCGGGCAAGATACTTGAGCAAAGGACAATAAAGGAGCTCAAACACCTCAAAAAAGTCAGAGCATGCTCACACAGACTCAACAGGAAAAGGACCCCAATCAACGAACAAGAACAGAACAACACCTGGATTTATAGACCGGATCAAGACTTAAAAGATTTGGAAGTTGATCCAGCGGAATGGGGCTGGCTCATCCCCAGCAATGAAGGAAGAGCAAGAAAACTCACAGCACTCTACGATTACGAGGTCAAGGCAGGGTATAGATTAAGAAACCAAACGAAAGATCCCAAACCAATAATTTCAGAGAGATGGAAGAAAAATTTGGGCGCTAACGCGGAATGGTTAGGCAAAATCCCATGGAGCCAGTATGCCAGTATGAGACCGACAAGTTTCAGAAGTCTACAATGGCTTAACTCTATTGGGTGGTGCCTGTCAACCAATGGCTGAGCAAAAGAAGAAAACAAGAAGAACCCCAACATCAAGCAGGCCGGTGCAAGCTGTGCAGCGAGAACACTGAAGAATCACTAACGCACTGCCTGATCTCTTGCCAGCGGGCACAAGAACTTTGGGACAGAATCAAATCGTCGTGGTCCAACCTAACAGGTCAGGCCTACCCCTCAAATATGAATTACTTACTATCAGGAAGAGAAGATGAAGGACTCCTCGAAGAAGAGGATACGTCTTCGAGGATACCTTTTTGGCAGACCTACTGAGAAGAGCGGCCCTGTGGGTAATCTGGAAAGCAAGGTGTAAGGGTGTCTTGGCGGACCAAATCAGCAGCGTGGAAGAGAAGTGGACCAAAATCCAAACCATAGTCCAAACGGAGATAAGAGCCCAATGGAACAGGGAACAACAGGCACAGCAGAAACTTCTACAACTAGAGAAACGTGAACTGAGTCAGCAAAATTTTGAAAGAACCTGTCTCAGCAAGAACAGAATCGCGGAAATAAAGAAAGGCTATCTGCACTTCAAAAACTGGGAGTACCAATGCCGGGTTCGGGTAGAAGGGACACAAGAAGTCGTGGTACACTGACTAAATCCATGTAGGGAAGCTACGGACTACTGGACACGGGCCTCTGCCCTCGGAGACTCCTTTTCCCTTTCCCCACTCCAAGAATACCCCACCCAACCCCTCCACTGGACTAACTCCCCTGCCCAACCTAAGAAGACCGAACACTATGATCCGATAGGGCCAGGAAGGGGAAGCAGCGGAACAGGTGGGAAGTGAGACCTCGTAAAGCCAGGGAAGGGCGGCCCAACCCAAGAGAAAAGGTACGATTGGAGAGGAAAACCATAGCACCGACGGAAACCAGCTCCAGAACAGCAGAAGCCTAAGCAGTCGAAGACCGAAGACGAAGAGCGGGGAGAAAAGGCGAGGATAAAAATTCACAGGGCGGCGACTAGTGGACGGTCTCGTGGTCGAGCTACGGAAGTGTGGGTTCCCTGAAAAGACGGGCACAAGCCAGAGAAAGACAGGAGAATCCAGTCTGGGCCTATTACAGACAAGCAGCGGAAGCAAAGGGAACAAAGGATACCAGGCAGCAAGAACAAGAGGCAGACGAATGGGAGGAAAGTTACAAAAATCAATTTCGGAGGATCCAGAACTGCAGGAAAGGGCCAGGAAAAGCTAACAAAGCACTGGCTATTGATTGGGAAGGCGGCAAAGCTAGGAAAGGTTCAGCAAGCCGGGACAGAAGACGAGGAACAGCGAAAGAACGAGAGACTGAGGTTTTACAAGAATTCGCTGTTTAACGGCAAGATTGCAGAGACACGAGAGGTCCGTATCTGCTGGAAAGAGTGGCACAACCCAGAGACAGAAAGGAGATCCCAACAGCGGTTAACGGCAGATGGATCAATCACTTCTTGAACACGAGATGACTACAATCGCTGGAAAGACTGGCACTTTTCAAACTCAGGAAGAGGCTATAGACAACAGATAACAGTGGATGGGCAAAACACCTCCTGATCAGACTTCCACGGGAGATTGGCAAGCCTAAACTTCTACAGCTATGGTTGGATAACAGGGAGAGGGACCAAAAGACCAGAACAAGGGGAAAACATCCTCTCAAAGGGATGTTGGAGTATGGGTACATGGGTTGAGGGTTTAAGGTTCAGGGTTTTAGTGATGATTTAAAGAAAGGGGGTCAGATAAAATGGGACAGGGGATATCACGCCACACGAGCAGGACAGATGAGTGGGGATGAGGCAGGCCAGCAGGGACTAAGGAGGAGCTCTTTCTAGGTGGCATAGTACTATTTGGCAGATCTGGCCTCCAGATCTGAGAGGAAAGAGAGTGACATGGCAAGCTGGCAGTTAATCCTCCACCAAGGTGGAGCAATCAATGCTGTACAGGGGCCCTTCGGCCGAACGGAAGGAAGCGTGTGTGAGT